GACAGGAAGCTACCAGAGGTTCAGGCTGGATTCAGAAGAGGATGTGGAACAAGGGATAGCATTGCTGATATCAGATGGATCTTGGCTGAAAGCAGAGACTACTTGGCAGATATTTTCTTGTATTTTATTGACTAGGCAGAAAAATATGTCTTCACTACATGTGTTTCGGATAGTACTTGTATTTTATATGACTATGTGTGAATCACAACAAACTATGGGTAACCTTGAGAAGAAGAGGAAATCCAGAAACCTAATTGTGCTTATGCAGAACCCATACCTGGACCAAAAAGCAATTGTGCAAAGGAACAAGGGAATGCTGCGTGGTTTATTTATTTATTTATTGCACGGCTTAAAATCAAGAAAGATGTGCGCCAGAGTTGTATCCTTTCACCATACGCTGAGCAAATCATCCGAGAAGCTGGCTTATATGAAGAAGAATGTGGCGTCAGGATCGGAGGAAGGCTTATTAATAAGCTGCGATAGGCAGATCCCACCTTGCTCGCTGAAAATGAGGAGGACTGGGCTGCAGCCTTCTTTATAGACGACAGCGCAATGTAAAGAAGACCAACATCCTCACAGCTGGACCAATGGCTAACATCATGGTAAATGGAGAAAAGGTTTAAATTGTTAAGGATTTTGTCTTGCTTGGATCATGGAAGCAGCAGTCATAAAAAGGTCAAAGGATACATTGCATTGGGTCAATCCTCTGCACAAGACCTCTGTCAAGGGTAGAAGAGCAAGGAGGGCACTTTGAGAACTTAGGGGAGCCTGACCCCAGCCGTGGTCTTTTCCATTGCCTCATATGCACGTGGAAGTTGGACACTGAATAAGGAAGACATAGGAGGCATTTTAGTGCTTATGACGAATGTTGAAAGTACCCTGCGTTGCCGATAGAACAAACCAATCTGTCTTTTGGAAGAAGTACAGCCAGAATGCTCCTTAGAGGAGACCTTGGTCTCAGGTAATTTGGACGGGTCGGGAGAGACCAGTCCCCGGGGCAGGACACAGGCTTGGTAAAGTAGTGAGGAGTGAAACAGAGAAAGGCCCTCAACAGGAGGAATTGACACTGGAGCTGCAACCAGGGGCTCAAACACAAGGTCAACTGTGAGGATGGCGCAGGGCCGACAGTGCTTCATTCTGTTGTACATGGTTGCTATGAGTCAGAACCGACTCGATGGCACCTAACAACGACAACAACAAAGCAGAGAGATAAACAAAAGCCCGAAAAGAACAACAGAAAACACAAAGAGAGAAATTGGCAGGGGAGAGGATGCTGGCTAGGTAGGTCCTGAATTTTACTACCTGACAGGTGAATACTGTACACCTATTATATAATTCTAAATTTGGAGGTGGACATTTTTAGAATATGATACCATTAAACATTCCAACCACAGGACAAATTCCCCAAGCTCAGATTTGCATTGCCGGGCGCCCTGTACCCTCAGGTTGCTTGGCTTGATGTGCGTTCACACATCCATCCGAGCTGGTTTCTCGGTGTCCGTCAATAAACTGCCTTTCTGGCTCACACACAGTAGGTGCTTTCAGCTTGTGCCTGCCACCACTGGTGTAATTTCTGAGCTTCACAGGCCAGCTCTGTCTGGCGGAATCTTCAAGGTGAAGGTTACCCCATTGAGCCTCTGGGAGCTTCCCTGGGAGCCATCTGGCAGGCTCCCCGCCTCTACATTTCAGGGTGTGGTCTGCAGGGCATTCAAAAAACATTCCTGCAACAGAGGAGTTTCGGGAACACCCCAAACTGGATCTGGGTGACTTGAATGTAATCCCAAGAGGTGGCTGTAACTGAGAAAGCTTAAGCCTCCTGAATTTTACTCCACTTGACTTAAAAAGGCGCACGTGAAAGAAGTGGGTCTGAGGACACCCACAAACAAGACCCCAATGCACAAATTCAACAGTGCTCCTCTGGCCCTTTCCCGAGTCTGGGGACACGGCCTCAGGTGCACACAAGCCTTGCAGAGACGGGAGGGACTGTCTCTCTGGGAGGAAGTAGAATGCAATCCTTTCAGCCAGAATGAAGGACAGCAGACCCACCGGCAATCAGATGCAGTGAGTGCTCAACAGACAACCTGTTGGTTAGTGACTGGTTAGAGTGACCTTTGAATCACCTTTGCCAGATCCTCACCACAGAAAATGAATCAATCATCGTCTGGTTTCTGCATCTCTTTGGTTTGAGTTTGGTTAATACGAATTGGCCCCGTGACACGGATACCATTAACGTCGATGGACAAGATTGAAGGGACGTGGACGACTGGACTGCAGAACGGGGTGACCCCTTCAACATGATGTCACTGAGTCGGCTCGAGCTCATAAGGACAATACAGTAGAAGGACACCCGGCCGGCCCTAGGCCACCCTGACATTAATGTTGGAGCCCCTTGTTGCAGCCACTGCGTCAGTCCATCTTGTTGAGGGTCTTCCTCTATTTCCCTGCCCCTCTCCTTGACCAAGCATGGTGTCTTTTCCAGGGACCAGTCTCTCCTGATAACGTGTCTGAAGTACATGAGACAGAGTCTCCCTGTCCTTGCTTCCAAGGAGCATTCTGGCTGTACTTCTAACAAGACAGACCTATTTCTTCTCTTGGAAGTTCATGGTACTTTCTATATTCTTTGACAGCACAGTAGGGGGTGAATTAATTAAATAATTGACCAGTGTGTGGCCCTCATCCAAATGGCCCTTGGCAGAAAAAAAAAGACTCCCACCCCTGTCTGGATGAATGTATTTACCTCACGGTAGTCCTTAACTCCACACACCTGATGTAGGAACCTGTTCTACTATATCCCTGAGTGGTACTCTCTTTGGATGCCCTAGTGACCAGGAACTCACTGCCTCACCGGTGCCTCAAACTAACCTGTTTTCTTAGAGATCTTGGCTGTTAGAATATTCTTGCTTACGTTGAAATTAAACCCACCACTATAAAAAAACTGCACACGGACTTTCCATAGGATGACCCAGCAATTCCACTTCTAAGTAGAGACCCCAACGCAGGGACTCAGACGGATGCTTACACATTCACGGAGTCACAGTAGCCACGTGTCTTTTCATTGATGAATGGGTCCACTGCATGTGGTACAAAAAGCAGTGGGATATTATTTATGCATAACGAGAAATGAGCGTTGACACAGGCTACAAAATGATGAGCCCTGAGAGCATTCTGGATGAGCCCACGTATATGAAATAGCTGGGCAGGGCAAACACATACAACTACATAGACACGTTTCTTCATTGTCCCCAGGAGTTGAGAGGAGGGCACAATGGGAGTGAGTTATGATTGTGCAACCTGGCGGAGGTAAGGAATGTCACTGAGATGCCTAAATGGCTATTTTAGGGGTTGCATATATTTTACTGTCATAAAATCAAACTCACTGCCATCGAGTCATTGATGACTCAGAGCCACCCTAGAGGGCAGGGGAGAACTGTCCCCTGTGGGTGTCCGAGACTGTGACTGTTTGGGGGAGTAGGAGCACCTAGTGGGTTTGAACGGAAGTAAATACGAAGCACACCAAGCCAAACCCACTCCGTTCTCCATGTCTCCCAGGGCGGCGTTCACACTGGGTAAGGAAAGTTTGCGTGTCGTCCAGACTGCCTATCCGCAGTTCCTAGGAGAGGAATTTGATGGCGTCTAGCCCTCTCTCTCCACCCCATTGTTCTCCTTCTAGCTTTTCAGTGTCTTTCTGGAAAACACGATCCCCCCAGAATCTGGTCAGTCCACTAGGACTATTATTTTTGAGACTTAAGATATTAGTGAAACTAAAGTCTGTTATTTCTTCACAGCTGCATCTCCCTATTGACTCAGACGCTTCAGAGAAAACTGTCATCACAATGGATGCTCTCTCTCGTTAGGATTTGAAAGGAGCCCTGGTGGTGCAGAGGTTAAGTGCCTGGCATCTAAGTGAAAGGTCAGGTTGGTGGTTCACATCCAGCAGCTGCTCCCAGGCAATGATCTGCTTCTGTAAAGCTATGGTGGCTGCCAACCCCATGGGGCAGTGGTCCTTTGTCACACAGGGTCACTGTGAGCCAGAACTAACTATGGCTGTGGGTTGTTGGTGTTTGTTTGTTAAATTTGGACCCTGGAGCTGCTGACGTGAGATTCAGAGGGGCCAGGCTGGGGGGTTTCTGTAGCAAGCTTATTTCCTTCCCCCTTTCGTGACGGCTGTTTGTGTTCAGGGAGGAGAGGGGCCTTAGCTCAGGACTAACATGTAGAGCTGTCTCAAGAATTCAGATCTAAGCAGAGAAGGGGTTTATTTTTCTTAGAGAGGGAGGGGGGGAAAGGCTCCCCTTTCCCTGGTGGATGATGTTTTCTTTAGCTCGGCCTCAGCACCTGGCAGGTAAAGGCAGTATGGGCTTGGGGAATCCCGGCAACTGAATACCAGTTGTTACGGAGAGAGGAAAAAGCATTGTGCCGAGGACGCTTCCCTTTTTGTTTTACAGTGCAAATGGTGGCAGCTAGTGGAATGTTGCTTTACCGAGTCTAGGATACAGTGACTGAAAATCCGAGCTGCCTGACGAGTCCTGGAGTGAATTTTCTGTTATCTCAGATCCCCTCCCTCCCACAAACTTAAGTCATCTTAAAAGCTCACTTGGCTATTTGTTGTTGATGTCATCCAGAAAAACCTTCCCACCCAGTCCCTCGGCCCCTCAACTCTCTCATTCTCTCCTCTTGTCACGTTACCCCGCCCACCCCCGTACCCCTCGGCCCTGCACACACACACACACACACACACACACACACACACACGGGCTTAAAGTCTAGGGTTGGATTGTCACTGCACACAGATCACAGGACGTGTTTCCAAGGACAACTTTGAGAACCCATGTGCTCACCCCCTTTAGGAAGTGTGAGAACGCCCGGCGGCGGCGGCGGTCTGGTCAGTGAGTGTGTCCGTTTCCCCAAAGGCTGCCCCTCATTAGCATGGACGGGGGTGGGGGTGGTGGGGAGGGGGGTGGAGGGGTGGGTCGGGGGAGAGAAGGCAAAAGCCCAGGCGCACTTTCAGAGCCTGGGAACCGCGTCTGCAAAAATGACAGCTCGCGCGTTCTGGCTTCTCTGTTTGATCATCGGATCCTCCCCCGAAGCCCCGGTGGCCCAGAGAATAGGTAAGTTCGCGGGAGGGCAGAGCCTGGGGTTTGAGGAGACAGAGGGGGCAAGAGAGGGCACTTCAGGTCTGTGTTCGCGTGGGGCAGGGACAAAATGCGTGTCCCCGAGACGTGGTGTCTCTCGGCAAGTCGTTTCGGAAGGCAGCCAGCTCAGCTAGTGCAAAGATCTGCCGCCGCGAGCGGGCAGGCAGGAGCTGGAGGAGACTCTGCATGTTAAGTGGGTGCTGCGAGGACCGGGGTGAGGGTGCAAGGAGGGAAGTCAGACGACTTCGGACATTTCTTCCCTCTCCCCCCAGCCCCAAAGGATAGCCCGACAGACACACACACACACACACACACACACACACACGCAAAAACATGGGCTTCCCTGTGGAGAGGTGGTTTTGTTTTGCTTTCATCTGGATGTTGTTCAATTCCCTATCGCTAGGAAAAATAGCTTCCGTTCCTCCCGGGGCAAATTACTTTGGGTTGTTTTTCCACACGCACATTTGAGTGACATCAGTGGCATTTAACGCAAATATCAGGCGATCTTTCCCATGACAACAGATGGTGAGACCGATGGGGGAGCGGCCCTGAGGTCCACAGTTGACTGCCTGAAATTGGACAGCCACCAGAACTTTCCTCAGCTGTGGGTGGTGGCACGGTGGGTGCTGAACGCAGCGAGGCAGGACTGCCCCTTTGCAAAACATGCACCTCCATCAGCCATGGCTAGAGAGCTGATTTGAAAGGAGATGGGTCACTTTGGCCAAATGAATCCCTTCACGTGAAGGGTTGGGAAAGGTGCAAGGGGTAGTCCAAGCTCTTCAATACAAGGGGAGAGAAATGCCAATAAACAGATTGAAAGGCCAGAGAGAGAGACATGGAGATGAGCGAGGGTGCTGAGACCCAGGCAATCGGGGAGGTGGTGTTCTGTAGCCAGGCGGTGGAAAGCTGCCCAGCTTCTGAACTGGCTCAAGTTTGCTCATCAACCTGAGAGCTGGAGAACATTTTATAGACTGGTACTTATGCATTTGATTTATGTATATTTTCTATGCGATGTTATTTAGATTTCTCTTCCCCATCAAAGGGGGTGAGAAAGTATCTCAGAGGTGTGTTTTCACATTTCACCAGAGGCCTCTGCTTGCTTCCCAGCTAAGTTTTTAACCCCCCACCCTCCCTTTCTCAGCTGAGGTTTGCCAGTAAGGGGTGTCCAAGAAGCCAGATAAAAAATTCCCTCCCAGATGCGCGCTTCTGTAGAGAGCAGAATGACAGTGTAAACACGGATGGGAAAACCAAATAGCTCTGTTGTTAGGGGCGCTCAACCTGTAATCCGAGACCTTTCCAAACCAGGAGGTTTGCTCCCAGGACTTTCTCAACAAACTGTAAACAGCAAAAAGGCGGATGTTTAGATGTATGTGTGTGTGTGCATGTATATATATATATATGTATATGTATATATACATATATAAAACAGGGCAGAAAAAAAAAACCAGGGCAGAAAGCGTTATTTAACCAAAGTAGCCTGCTCCCCCTTCTCCCCACCAAAACAACCCCCCCTAAACAAGCCCCCAAAACTTTAGTCCGAGGGAAAACTAGGTTATAGTAACTTAAAAGCCTATAGATTTGAAAAGGCTCTTTTACAAAGCGAGACGGAACGCCCACTGGGGGAGAAACCCTTTTTGAGGTGGCCCCATTCTTAGGAAGACAAGACCCTCATGGTCCTGGGACCCCAGGAGACCCGGGCGAGAGAAGGGCAGCCCCCCATGCTCAGCCCCCTCCCCTCGCACGTGCAGGCGCCTCTGCCCGAGCCCCCTCCCGTTGCTCCCCCGGCTCGTCGGGCTCGGACACCCTCGTCTTCCGGCCTCGCCTCCCTGACGGCCTCCGGCCTCTCCCTTCTCTCCCCGCAGCCTCGCCGGCCCACGACAGGAAGCCC